AAAAAAAAAAAAAACACATAACTTGATATCTACCCCCTTAACAAAGCTTTAACTATACGGTACAGAATTGTTGATGGATAAAGAAGATGTGATATATACGTACAATGGGACTCCTTTTACGGGATAAAATAGTCTTCTTGCTTTATGTCATTTTTCAGTTACCAGGAAACATTCCCATGGACAGACTTTTCTAGAGCAGCATCACTCACAGTGCAGTATGTATGTGTATATACATATGGATAACATTTGGGGAGGAGGGCATTAAAATACACTTATAAAATCAACCACATTAAACATTTTAAAAATGTATTTATTTTTGTTTTAGAGCATGTGTGCAGGCGGGGGAGAGGGACAGAGGGAGAGAGAGACTCCCAAGCAGGCTCAGGCTCAGCGAGGAGCCCGACACAGGGTTCAGTCTCACCAACCATGAGATCATGACCTGAGCCAAAACCAAGAGTCGGACACTCAACTGACTGAGCCTCTGAGGCACCCCAATTTTAACCATTTTTAAGTGTGCAATTCAGTGGCATTAAGCACACTCACAATGTTGTGCAGCCGCTCAGCGTGTGTTTCAACTATTATCTAATATACAAAACCAGGTCATGGAAAATAATAATAATGATGATGATGATAATAATAATAACACTCCACGGCACATACCACACTGGAGGCGGGGATGGTTTTTTCATGGTTAAGGTATTGCTGGCCAAAAAAGACACTAGAAAACAAAATATTCAAACACCCCTTTCCCCAGGCAGGTTGGCAGTTTGCTGTGGCCCACACACAGGAACCGGTGCTGAAAGAATGCCCCCCCAACTCCCAGGGGTGCAGCAGGGGCTTAGAATAGAACTTGAATCATTCAGGCTGCTTGCCTTTGCCACGGCTGAATTTCAGAAGAACGCCTGCACCCTGTGCAAACAGCAGGCTTCCTGGAAAACAACGTGATGTGCGAGACCTTCAGTTTTAGAATCGGCCTGTAATTCTTGATCCACGACAGCAGCTGGAGAACCGATGTCAGAGGTTCCCCCCACATCCCCACCCCAGTTCTCCCTGGGCAGGGGTGGGGGGGGGCCCAAGACCACAGTTGAAGAACCACCTGACCCAGCTTGGTGGAGCTCACCCTTGACTTTACACAGAGAAGGGGAGGACGTACCCAAATGGGGCAAGTGGCACAGTCAGTGTGTCTTGTGAGAGCAGCTGGTGGCCTCAGCGAGCTGAGACAGAAACAAGCTACAGAGAAGGGGAGAGAGACTCAGCCAGTACCTGCGTGGCACTTATTGAACATCTATTGTCCTCTGCGCCTCTGTGATTTCTCTTCTCACGGTGTCTCCAGGAAGAATGAGTTATTGCAACCCCACTTTTTAGATGGGGACACTGAGGCTCAGTGTGGTTGGGCAGAGGACGCTCATGGCCAGTGTCGTGAGTCGGGGTCCCCATCCCAAAGTCCACACCGGTTCCATTCTGCTGGGCTGTCAGATGTGGGCATGGCCCACCGAGATGGGGCATCAAGCCAGCCTTGTGTTTTCCATGGCTTTCCTGGACATGGGCACCCAGGGGCCATCCCTGGACGGTAGAGAGCTTCCACTTCCCAAGTTACCAAGTTCAGGGTGATTGGAGGATGGTGTGAGAGCAACTCCCTTCTCTGCTCAACTTTGAGCCTTCCTGGGCTCCCCCTTTCCCTCTACATGAAGTCCACACCTTGAACAAGTCACTGGATCCAACGTTGGCTGTTGGCCAACCTTGCCCGCCATATTGGCCTTTCCTTTAAGCCCTGTGGCCTGCATTTCTGCCATGCTGTGCCCTCTGCCTGGAAGGCTCTGCCCTACTTCTAACTCTTCCTCATCCTTCAGATCTTGTAAATGCCACTTCCTCTGGGAAGCCCTCCCTGATCTTCTCTAATGACATCAAGTTGCCTGGCCTCAGGACACCCTGCATTTTCCCCATAGTGTTCACTGCAGTGTGAAATGATTGGTAAACATTCATAACCTGGGGCGCCTAAATGGTTAAGTTGGTCACTTTAAGTCGGCAACTGAGTGGCTCGGTCGATGAAGCATCCGACTTCGGCTCAGGTCATGATCTCACGGTCCGTGGGTTTGAGCCCCTCGTCAGGCTCTGTGCTGACAGCTCGGAGCCTGGAGCCTGTTTCAAATTCTGTGTGTGTGTCTCTCTCTGCTCTGTCTCTATCTCTCAGAAATAAATAAATGTTGAAAAAAATTTTAA